AGGGGTAATTTTGACCAAAAACACTTCGATCAAATTTTGAGCTTTTCTAGACCTAGTTCGTTGCCAAACGGATCAACGATCAAAACTCTTTGGTCGTAGCCATGACCCATTGGTGATTTTGGTTAAAAAAAACACCATTTTGGCCCTTAAAATACACTTTTACTCGTTTTTAAAGATGATGCAAGCCAACAAGCTTTAGAATTCCTAGAACGGTATAAGCTCGATAAAATAAGGGATATAATTATTACCATGAAGCCAATCCATTTCCAGTAATGCATTGTAGCTTAAGGTCGTATCCACCTGTAAAGAAAATAGTGTTAATGGTCAACATCCTAATCATTAAGCTTGTCTGGGAAAATCTCCTTAGCTTGCAACACATTTCCTATAAACCCACTCATAACTTCCTTAATGGGTATGAAATCTTCCTTTATTTTGTTTATAACATACAATATATATAGAGGCAAGAAGTTCACTACATCCCCATTGTCTACTAATATTCTATTAATTAGCACTCCATTTATATTTTTTTCCTTGATGTACTAGAACTTCATATGAATAAGAGCCTTTTTCTTTGGTTTCTCCAAAAGTACTTTCATTAATTCCTATTCTTTCAACTCCTCTATCCTAATTTTGAGTAGCTTAATCTACATCTATATAATCTATTTAAAGGTAATTCATATTTTACTTCTCGGATGTGTCCTCAATGTTGACTATCTCATGTTATACTGGGATTCATCTATTTCCTTTTAATGAGGAATCATATCCTTGGGCGAGAAAATTTGAAAGGTAGCAAAGTAATCATGTTGCGTCCTACTTTCTAATTAACTTTTTTATCCATATGATCAGTTTTCTTACCAAATGATAAGTCTATCTTATCATCTCATGGAGCTTCTACCATCTTTTCATTCAAATCTCTTTTGTATCTTGGTTTTGCCAAGCATGTTCCTCTCTAGCTTCTTATGAAACCTTAGGCCTTCACTTTCTTCTTTATCAAACTCTTCTAGACCAAACTTGATTATCTAGTTGTTATTAGTATGATCAATGGTGAAATCTTGTATCTTCTCTTATGCATTCCAAACACCTCTTCCCCTTATAGTTTTTTTCTTTTTGAAAAGTGGTATTTTTTACGTTGTAGCCTCTTATGAACAGTTCTAGTAATTGCTTTTGCTCTTTGTTGAGCCCATTTTCTATCTTTTCTTATTTATCACTTACTCTTTATAGTAGTCCATCCATCATTATCATGGTTAAAGCCCCTAGGATCGGACTTTCCTTCCTTGATGAATCCCCGTAATGACTAGTAAGGTACTATCATCTTAAAGAATATGTTATTTTTTTTAGAGTAATATCATTGCGGTTATACATATATAGCCTTTTAAAAGGCCTCTCACCTTCCTTGCTAAGATTCATATCCCGAAGGTAAGATCATATGAGATGACCGGCTCATATTGTTTTGTATAATGCTCTTCACAAAGTCTTTAAGTTCTTAAAGAGCATAGCTACGTTTAGAGCTTTTTTATCGAGTTCCCCCAAGCAAGTCTTCTACAATCGGGGGTTTGGAGTTTTCAAATAATTTGGCTCTCATTGGCTCAAATAGATCAAAAATCCTAAGAGCCTTCAATTCATCCTTATTGGGTGTTATCTCGCCTTTTGATAACGTTACTCTTCCTAAACTTTTTGAAGGTTGCACAAGTATCTATTGTGTGGCTATCCGTCATATGCCATCTATATACGTGGTCGGTTGCCTACAACTTATCTATAGGTGCAAACTTTAGGAACCTTGTTTGCATTAGGTAATCAAAATACTCATTTGTAGTTAGAGTATCAAATGTCACTACCTACAAAATATCATTAGAAGTGTTACTTTAGTTATCAAAAAGAGACAAAAGTAACATATTCACCATGGTGTAAGTGGTCTATTGTATTGACACTAAAAAAAGAGTCTTTATATATACCTAGTGAAACTTTATTTTCTAGTGTCATTTTTAGAATTCTTAATCTCCTTAAAATAATAGATAGTGACTCCATTTTTTTTTTTAATTCTTTTTAGTCTAAAAGTCTCATATATCGACAATGACACTCTTAATGAATTTTTTTGAGCTTTGAAAACCAAGGAGGACCTTATAGGAGGATAAATTAAAAGAACATTATTTGGTTAACAAGTCATAACTTTTGATCTAAGTATTTGTTTGATACAAGCCTTACCAAACTCGAAAGGATAATTCAAAGGTCCGAGCCTAGTGGTGATGGACAACCCATCAAGAACCATTTTTAAGGTCAAAATGCACTTCAAAGACCCATTTTCAAGTCATTTTCTAATTGGAACTTCTTAACCAAACCTAGATTAATGCACTTTTTATCAACTATAATAGAATATTTTGTTGTTTATAGGCTCCCAAGCATTTATTTTCAATTTGTTGAGTAATAAGGCTCATGGAAAGCCTACAACTATTTTTTTAATTGTTAAATAAGGAGGCTAATGACATGTCCGTAATTAGTTACTATACATTAGAAGGCTCAAAGTTAGTCTATTGCATATTTTATTTGTTTTTAATGTGTTGCAAGACCCATGGCAAACCTTTTACAATCACTCTTGTATATGGCAATATCATCCTATTTGTGGTATACGAGATGAATACGAGTTCATCTATTTTGCAAGCTACTTATACAAGGGCATTTTTTAAAATTTTATTTTTCTCTATCTCACTCTATAAGGTTACACGAACACACTTGATTGGTAAGATTATTTGTACAAATGACTAAATATTCATGCTCAATTTATCTATAAAAAAATGATTAAGTAACTTATTTAATTTTATTATGTACTAATTCATGGTGTGTGTGTGTGTGTGTTTTTTTTTTTTTTTTGGTTCATAGTTCCAAGCTTCACACCAAACAAATAGGACCGATGATGGGCTCTCTTAGCATAATGCTTTGGATCATACAAAGATGGAGACGAATATTCTAGCAAGTTAGTGTTCTACCTTATCTTTAGGATGTATTTAAGAGATTAGTTTGGTTGGTTTGAAGCAAGATCCGCCAAAAGAAAACCCAATTGTTATTTTATTTAGTCTTTGCTAGAAAGTTGAAGCATTTTAGTTCAAAATAACCTAATTTCTTCAACTTAAATCTAACTACTCAAACATGAATGTTGTGATATGATTCTCGCCACTCTAATTTGTGCCTTACCATTGTCATTCTCGTTTCATTAGAATTACCAATCTCACTAAAATTGTGAGGACATTTCAACTTTTTTATCTTCAAGCAAAAACTTTTGATTATCTCTCTCAAAGCACTTTCATTCAAACCAAATATTTCCCGAAATTCCACATGTTTAGACTTTGACAATCCATTTGTCTCGTCAATCTAATTTGTGCTTTACAAGCATTATCTATATTTTCTTTCACAACTCTCATTACTTGTACCTATTTTACTTAGTTGTTTGATCATGGCTTCTACAAATCACAATGTTACCTCTCCGACTCTCAATTGGTCATCAACCAATCATTTTATCAATTCTTAAAAACCCCTCTCATAATATTTTATTTACTACTTTATTTATCATTCCCTTAGTATTGCAGTTTATGCCTATTTTTCTTAGGTTTTTGTTATCATCAAAAACTTTATTTAGTTATTTTTCCTTTAAGACTTCGTTTGTTTGCGAGAAAACAACTTCTATTGAAAAATCAATTTTTGAAGAAGCTATTTTTTAGAAAATTATTTTCTAAAAAAATTATTTTCTATCGTTTGGTAATTACATGAAAAAGCTGTTAGAACATATATTTTAGCGCTTGTTTGATACGGAAAATTAAAATACAAAAACGAGTATGTGATTGTTACATCAATAGGTTTTGAAAAAACTTGAAAAAGACATATTTACAATTTCACAATATAATATACAATTGAAAAAATTTAATAAATTTTCATAAATACCGACTCTAAAATTTAAATTCAAAAAATAAAATATACTTTTTTAACCATCAAACCAATTTATCAAAATTACTTGAGACAAAATCAAGTCAATATTCATATTTAGTAATAAAAAAAAGCTGTGTAATTCTAGCATTGTTATTCTAGTAACTCAATGCGAATCTTTTTTTAAAAAAAATTAAATTGATAATTTAGTCTAAAAAATAGTTTTACAAATTATTAGTTATCATTTGTAGATAATTATTCATTTGATTTCAAAAGATTAATGTTGGAATAACTTGTACCTAATTATTCGCTACAATTACCAACAAAATTTTTCAACCGATTAAAATTACAAATTACCGATTTAGTTGCAAATAAATAGTATTGAAAAAATAATGTATTTATTAATGAATTAATTAATTTTTAATTTTTTACAAATGATTTCAATCTTGTAATAATCATTTTCAATCATTGAAGTATAGTTTAGATAGTGTTTGAGATAATAGTAAAAAAAAATAAATAAAGATAAATTATTGAAATATTTATTATAAAAATAATTTTAAGGTGTAAAAATGGTTTTTAAGAATATTTAATGTATTTATAAATCAAAAAAATCAAATGTTAGTAGAACTAGATAAAAATAATTAAATAATTAATAATAATTGATAAGAAATAATTAAAAATTAATTTGATACATTTTAAATAAAAAGAAGATAGAGAAAAAATTATTAAAATATATCAAGAGAGAGGTAAATAACGCGAAAGCGAGACAGACTCGTGAGAAGAAAAATATTTTTCTCTTTTTTAACTCGAAAAAAAATTTCTTAAAAATATTCTATCATTTTCTATTGACTTTTTTTCTAAATACGAAAAAAATATTGAAAAATGAAAAAAAACAAGTTCTTGAAATTTGTTTCTCCCTAGACAAGCACAACCTAAGTGATAATTTTATTTTGGTCCCATATTTAACACTTAACTATGAATTAATCTCAATTTAATCAATTTAATTCAGAAAAAAAATAATGTATGGGTAAGAAAAAAAAACTAGCCAAGTGATAATTTTACTTCGGTCCCATATTCAACACCAGACTATGAATCAATCCCCAGATGTAATCAATTTAATCCAAAATCAATTTAATCATGTAAAAAAAAATAGTGGAAGTTCCAATTAAATATTATTACACTAAGTTTTGCTTGCTAGTCTTGATGCGTTTTGGGGACAAACTCGAGGAAAACAAGTTCAAACAAGTAGAAGAAGTCCAACGCAGGTTGCTGTTGAGCTTTGGTCGCTTCAATATTCTGAATTTCCAGCCAGGTATGACAAAGATACTCTTTCATAAACGTTGGGAGAAATTCTTTTAGCTTCGTCGAGAACAAGAAAACGTGTTGGTTCCTTTGATAAGAACAAAAAAGAATGCAAGGGATGAAAATTTAAGCAAAGATACAGGAGTTTGTTGCCTCGTATGTGGATGCCTTATTGGATATGCAACTCCCAGATGAGAAGAGAAAGGTTGAAGAAGGAGAGAGAGTTTCTGCTCGGAGTTTATTGATGCAGGCACGAACAAATACATCAACGACACTGCAATGGATCATGGCGAATTTGGTGAAGTACCCTCATATTCAAGAAAAGCTCTTCGAGGAAATTCAAGGGGTTGTGGATGCTGGAGAGGAAGAGATTAAAGAAGATTTGCTTAAAGCAGTGATTTTGGAAGAATTAAGGCGACATCCTCCAGGGCACTTTGTGTTGCCATATGCAGTAACACAAGATACAATTCTTGATGGCTTTAAGAGTTCCCAAGAATGGTAGCGTGAATTTCATGGTTGCAGAGATAGGGTGGGATGCTAAGGTGTGGGAAGACCCTATGATGTTCAAACCTGAGAGATTTTTGAATGATAATAATACGAATGGAATCGAAGTCTTTGATGTAACTGGCAGCAGGGAGGTAAAAATGATGCCTTTTGGGGTAGGGATGAGGATTTATCCGTGGTATCGTTTGGCAATGCTTCATTTGGAGTATTTCGTAGCCAATTTGGTTTGGGATTTCAAGTGGACAACTGTGGATAAAGATGATGTTGATCTGTCCGAGAAGCAGGAGTTTACAGTGACGATGAAGAATCCATTAGAAGCCCACAGGACTCCAACAGAGAAAGCTCGAGACAGTTAAAAGTAAGTTTGGTTTGTCTATTCCTAGAAGGTGTCAATGCGAGCTTCAAGAATAATACAAATAATAATAGGGTAATGAAGATCGATAATAAAGAAGCATTGCGTGTTTAAACGATGAATGTAAAGAGCCTTTAACTACAGGGATTCGTCCCATGAAGTGAAATAGTAATTTCCCGTAATACAAATCATTTACGGGTCCATCCAGATCACCGTGTTCCATCCCTTGGGCAATTAATAGCTTTTAAAGATGGCAACCATATAGCTACTGCTAAATCTTTCACAGAACAGAAAACGTAATTTCCTACAACAGAGAAGTGAAATAGTATGAGCCTGAACTGAAAAGGCAATACTAACAAGATAAGTTACCCATCAATCATGCATTTTCAAATGACAATCTCACGCTCTCTCTTTCTTTTTGTAAGGCACAGTTATTCAAGACAATAAGGATCAAAAGAGAGTTCAGGTTACACCAACCACTGATAGAGAAGGAAAGCCAAATTCAATCATATGAGCAGCAAAATTGCAAGATAACTAAAATTTCAAATCCAAGCAGTTATAATTAATCTCCGGCCGAAATTGATAGCCCAGATTTTCTATAATCTAGGAAAGAAAGCAGAACCAGTGACTACCTCACAGGTAAGATTAAAATGTCTGTAGTGGGGAAACTAGGGTAATGACAGCAAATCAATTGAAACCTGGAAGCCAACCTGAAACGCTGATAGAAATTACAGAACATTGGGGATTGTTTCAAGCTTCAATCATGGCATATTCAACTCCGGTTAATATAAATTGATGGACAAAACAAATTATTTTTTGGCGAAATAGACTAAGTAAGCCAACCGGAAGCAAAACCACTCGCAAATACAAACAGCCAAATCATCCAGCAGTCTTCTAAAACAGAAGCACAGGATTACTTTCTACATTATAGCAATGAACAAACTAGTCATAAAAGTAGAGCACAATCTTCCATGTCTGGTGGGATCATACTGACTCTGATACCATAGAACACAAGAAAACAAACAAGCATCATACAATAGAAGTGCAGGCAAAAGGAGAGAACAAACAGGACAAAGCTAGAGGGAACAACATCAGCCTACAAATCTGCTGAGACATTGAGAGTTACAGTTTCAAAATACAAACATCAACAGAGCTTGCAGTTCTGCACGATCTAAAAAAGCTTGACATACCTTGATAGGAGGCATCACCATGACACAAGTATCAGTGCCTGAAGAAAATGACCACACAAATAGTAATTCAGAAAAACAAAATGCCCTGAAAATTTCTCCAACACCAGAGTCCTCTGGCTCATGCATAAAATTGTGGTTAGGCTCAACAATATGGGAGTTCCAACCTAGTTCCAGCAAAAATGTCTGTCAGAAACAAGTTCATAGATATGCAGACCTAAGCGATGTTTACAAGATCAAGGGCATAAATACAGCATTCAAGCAAGACAAAGTGATTTGAACATGGCACTAATTCCATGTGGTATCAAGTTCTTGAATATGCAGACCTACGCGATGGTTACAAGATTGAGGCCATAAATACAGCATTCAAGCAAGACAAAGTGATTTGAACATGGCACTAATTCCATATGGTATGGGTCTATTCTTCCCCCCACATCCACTAATTGAATACAAACTCAAACTCATGACCAGAAAGCTATGGCCAAAATCATTGTCCATGATGTATATTTGAATCTTGTCATCAAGTTCCCTCTCTAAGGGAAAATATATTAAAATGTGAGCTAGGTGGACTGGGTTAGACTGACTGAAAAGACTCAAAAGAAACTCTAAGAATTTCCAGCAGGTGTAGAATTTGTTTCTGTTGATGCAACTATTTCTTCCAAGGCTTCCATGTCAATGGTCATATCATCGTCAATGTCAGCCTCCTCTACCTCGGTCATTATTTCATCCCCGTCTCCTACCACAGGTTCAACCCCATTTTGTGTCGAACCAGATTGCACCTGCAATTCTTCACTTGCTTTATCTGATTCGTCTGGCTTCTCTAATACTTGTGGATATGGGTCAGTACAGACAGCTAATGTGGATGTCACCATCAAATTCTAGAAATAAGAACTGAAGAATATTAGCATATCTAAGCATCAGGAAGATGACGTATTAAGGAACAAAATCAAAAAATCATTTAGTTAATATGAAATGTTAGAGATTAAACATTGAGGTGCAATAATCTCAAATTTTCAACATTCATCTTCTTATTTATCTATTATGTTTCTTGTGCCATATAATGAATGCAAATGATGAAACCATTCCCAATATTTCTCCTAACAGTGCTTCCATAACCAACACGTCAATTAAGTACATAGCATGACAAGCATCTGACGATGGAAGAAAGAAAGAACTACCCAGTCGACCAGAAGTCATTCTGTCATCAAAGTGTTGTTGAATATACACTTCCTGAATAACAAATTTTTGCTAGAAAAGTTTCCAATTCATCCAGGGCATTATGTAACAACAGAATTAGGGTCTATTAGGGATTGGAAATAGATATGTGAAATAGAAGAATATTAGGAGATGAGAGGACATCAACCCACATCTAGGGTTCAAAAGAAAGTATAAAGGAATAAGAGGAAGTTGCTCTCGAAAAAATTTATTCAATCAAATTTCATCTCCATTTGCAGTCCAAATGAGCCTTTTTGTTTATTCAAGAAGCCCTCTAGGACAATGGCCAGTCCTCATTTACATGCTGAACTAAAGTTAGAATAGTTTCGAATCCTAACTAGTATATGCTCCTAATTGGAGAAAGCATGGTTTTATGGCTTATTTATAGTATACAGTTTCACACAAATTTAGGAGTAGTTTTCCTCGGTTGAAGTAGAAAGAGATTTGATTTATGTATTAATAATTTGAAAGATGCATCATTCTCCCTATTCTACTATGTCCTCTTCTCTTCCTTCATGAAATCTCTCCCCCCCCCCCCCTCTCTCCAATCAAAAAGAAAAGAAATGGGGAAACAGCAAGAGGGAGGATGGGGGCTTTCTTCACTATCGAAATATGAGCCTGTATGTTGATTTATTTTGAAGTCTAGTTAGGAGGTGCTTTTCCAGCCATGGCACTGGCAACAAACATTTTTTCACAACCTAGAAAAACATACTTGCTGCAGCTTTTATCGTACAACATTTTTATAAAAAAACAATTTAAAGCTCTTTCAAACTGCTTTTGTTTTTTACTTACAAAAGACGAAACATACTTCAACTTTTCATATTATTTTTGTATGACTTTTTATTAAACAAATTACAAGTTTTTAATTTTCAATAACATTATCATGAATGTTATATACACTTTTCAACATTTTTTCAATAATTTTATCCAACAAAAATAGAAAAAACAACAGCAATCCAAAAAAAAAGTTCTCGTCTTGACTTTATAGGTACTTCAGAAAATACAACATTCTATAAATAAGCGGAAATTCAAAAAAATAAATACTCAAACAAGAAAATAAAAGTTGAATTTCCATGTCACTTAAATCAATTTTCCCTAATTGTCTATTTTTTTAATAAAAAAATTACTTTCATGATGATGGGAAAAAGAGCAAAATCACATCATGGAGAACAGCATATCTTCAGCTGGGAAAACTAAGCACTAACACAGGTACAACTGAAAACTATCAAATAGAAAGTGCCCTCCAATAGTTCAAAGTCCAACCCTTGGCACGTCAGAGGAAAAAAAAAACAAAACAAAAAACCTATAATTTTCCCATGAAGCAAAACTCTTTATCAAAGCCAGAAACACAATCCTATCTCACCACTGCTCAGATATAGATCAAATCCTCAAAAATACAAGAGTTCCACTATGTCTAAAAAAACAAACCACCTTGAAGATGGTTTAAATTTTCTATTTTCTTATTCAACTTTCTTCTCTTGAAATTCAGCCAGAAAGGATAAATGAGTGCTTCACAAGAAAATAAGATTGCATGAAGCTTCAAATTTAAGCTCTACTTTTATCATTCATAAAATATGAACAACAATGTTAAAATAACTTGCTATACTTGAGATGTCGATTAGAAAAATACCAAAAACACGTCCTGTAAAGGAGAGAGGTTGGAGAACTAGTTTTTTTTCTTTTCTTTTTGCAAGTTATGGTCTGGTTTATCAAGCTCGATGAGTTCCTATGAAATCTAAGCTTCAAGAAACAGAACTCTAATTCTACACACAAATCAGGCTTTGACAACAAGTCAAAATAATAATAAGAACACAGGTAATAAGATGTTGAATAATGCAATTAGGCTTGGGGCTTAAAATATTATTCAACCTTCATAACAAGAAAGGGATTATAAATGAGGTTAACATGGGCATGAAAGCATGTTTCCTCTAGCAAATCATTATATCCAATAAACAAATTTTTAAAGAACCAACGCACCTTTTCTAGGGCCAGGGCAAGCTTTGAGAGGTTTGGATAGATGCTTCTTGCTGCCAACAGAATCTGTTGAGCATAGAATTATACCACATGATGTTGTTCAATGTTATTTGATCCGTAATAAATAGAAGAATGAACAGAAGCAATAGAAAGAACAGGGAAGTATAGTTTTAACATCATGATAGCATTAACTGATACATTGTTGTCTTTTATTCAATAAGATTAACTTAGCACTAAGATAACACCGAAGATGTGAGTAAATTCATACATCAAACTAGACTAATAACTGGAATTTCATAATGTAAAGCGATGACATACAATTACATCAAACTTTGATGCCGCATGCTTCACTAGCTCCATCATACAACTATAAAAGTACTAGTTAGATAAAAAAATATAACAGGAAACCTATCCATGAACCTTCCTACAAAAACTTAATTGATCAAGATATTCTCTAATATGCTCATTTGTCTTTTTCTTTTTTTCTTTTTTTGTCAAAATTAATGGCCATATGCTTTAAACAGAGTACCTTTGTATGAATTAACTTAAATTCCCTTTCAAGAATATTTAAAACAAAACAAACAAATATTTTAAATGAGCAAATTTTGACGGAAAAAACTGATAGATGAGCATATTAGAAAATATGGACAAACAAAATGTTATCATTGATTGATTTATTTTTATAAAGAATACAATGGAGAAAATTTGTATTATATAAAGGTATATTGATGGGTTTTCAATACTCAACATGACAAATCTGCATGGCACCATAAACTTTTTCGGCATTTCATTCTTACATTTTACAAGACAATAATAAATGGATGAGGTAACAGAAAATTCAGTGCATGTACTTGTCTAAAGTTTCCAATCAAGTGTTTACTTTTTTCTTCTCTTTTCATTTGAGTGTATGTATCTCTTTTTTTTTTTTCCCAATAAAGTTTCTCCGTTATCAAATTGTTGACGACCTGTCCAATAAATGGAACATGCCATCCTTATTGAGGGACCTATTATTCACAAAAATGGGAAAATAGAAAAGAGAAGAAAAAAATTGAAAATAGAACAAAAAATAAAATAAATTTTTTTTTTTTTGGGTTATTGTAATTTTTTAAGAAAAATTAAAATCCTAAACCTGAAAATAACAATGAGGAGAAATTTCCTTGCTGAAACACGACATTACTCAATTTTCCCTCTTTATTGTTATTTTAAGATTTATTAAAACAATTTTTCTATATTGTTCTTCTTTAATGAAAAATGGGTCCCACAATAAGGATGATGTTTGTCAATTTATCCAACATATCACCAACAATTTTATAATGGAGACAATTGAAAAATAATTCAGAGTACAAACAAAATATAGAAAAGAAAAAGGAGACAGACACTTGATTTTCTTAAAAAATGAAGGTACATAAACTCAAATAGAAAAAATAAAAATAGAGACTTAATTAAAATTTTCAAGTGCTGAATTTTTCAAAACCTCATAAATGAACTCAAAAGACATTATTCAATCTGGAACAAGGATGATCTGCTCCTATCCTAATTATTTCTCAATATTTCATGTAAAAAAGGCTTCCATCAATTTACACCGTCTTTGGGAGGGTGGAAAGTGGGAGGAAATAATATGGGGTCAAGGAAAGTGAGGGAGAAAAGTTGCCTTCCATTATTTGGCAAAGAGAGAAAATGAGGGGAAGGAAGTGGAGAGCAAATTCTTCCTTGGACTCACCAAATAAGTGATAGGAAAATGAGTACGATTATTTAGTTAACCTCGCAATAAATTTTCTTTATCACAAAAATAAAGGATAAAAATGTAATCTCATAAACTTGCCACCCACTTTCATTCCCTCCAAATTTCTTCCATCGAAACAGCAAAGAAAAAAATTCTCCTCTCCATTAACTTTCTCTCCCCCATTTTCAACCCTTCCATTTTCCTACCCTTGTTTGGTTCCCAAACAAAGTGTTAAGATTTTTATCTAAAAGCTAAGAGCAACAATCAAAGAATAAGTTGTCATACTTATTCTCCATACTGATGAATCATCAAACATGGGTACCCTAAGAATCAGCCAACCGTAAAAGATACTAATCATAGCATTCCTGAAATTTACGTCAGCTAAGGTGATGCACAGATGTTCATAAATTTAGACAGCATCCAAAGCAAGTAACAAGGTACAATACTTGTTGCATAATCAACTATAATCATTATCCTGGGCCCAGCATTAAAGAACCAATTATAGGGCACATGCATTGATTTTCAAACCATAACAAATGCAGGATTAGTCTTTATTTACAAATATCAAAAAAACATAATGCACAAATACAAAAAGTAACGCACCTCACAAAGCCTCTGCAGGGTAAAAGGGGGACCTTCATCAAAACTGTGAAGAGCTGTGAAGCAAGAAACAAAATTATTACAAATAATCTCATTCAAGAACAATAATGAGTATCAATAATTTAGAATATTCAAGAGGCCCATCAATTATAGCTAATTAAAAATCCTAACTTCAGACCAAACACCTTGCACATCCATGGTTAGATTAAAAAAAAAATGAGCACCACATCTAAACTAAAGCTACAAGCAGCTTCAAACAAGCCCATTAACACCCATGGAAGTTGAGAGATACAGTTTGTTTATTGCAACAAAGCTCTCTAAAAACTCCTGCATCTCTTTTTTCAAGTTTCTTGTTTGAATTCAATGTTTTCACATCTGGTAAAAGGTTAATGTTTAAAATAATAGTTTTATGGTGAAAACTTATAAACATATTATATTTTCTTAGATTCTTTCTAGCTGTTCTTATAGCGTTTAATTTCTTCCCTTCCCTTCACAAGTTTAATTTCTTAAATGTTTATGAAATTAGTTTCTCTTTTTCACGCTCTTCTTGTTGTGAGATTACCTCAAATTTGATGCAATTTAAGTTGATAGAGGATAAAAAATGTAGGAGCGCACATTAAGGCAATTTGGGCAGTTTCAGGATATTTCTCACAGAACTAAAAATGTCAGTTTCAAATTGAAGTAGGATCTTTCAATTACAGCACCTAGTAAGCAGGTGCACTATAGAGGTGCCTAAGGAGGCAATCCTTAGGTGGGGCCATCTGGCCTTCCAACTACTTAATAGTGAAGTAGTTGGCCGGTCAACTTTTATGAAATTATCCCTATCAGGCAGTAATTACAGAGCTGACCTGGCAGTTTAGGTCCCCAAATCCCAAAATAATAGCTACCAAAATAAAACTATTTAGGCTAGACATGCTGCTTTAGTGTTATGTCCTCCCCAACCTTCCACACTTTATTTGCATTACAGATTGATGGCACCTAACCAAACTGAATTTAAGCATAAAGACTGGAATAATCTTCAAAAGAAAAAATAAATAAATAAATAAATTCAGTCGGACATCAGTTAATTTGATTTTATGGCTGAATAAGGCCCAAAGTTTTGGTAAACCCAATTAATAATAAGGGGCGTTATTTTCAAATTAACAGATAACAACCATAATGGCTGTTACCATTATCTAACACCATTATGGCCATTTTACGACAAACGTAGTTACACCCTCAATAACGATGAAAAACACAAAACGGGATTGTCTGAATCCATTAAACAATGGTCGACGCGCTATATAACAACCCTTATTTAAAACTATGGATAGAGAAAGAGGGCTGCGTATAAGATCAACACTACCAAACTTGAGGGGGCTTTCACCTGATACTGGTGCAATTGGCCACACCGCTAGCATAAAGGGCCTTTGTACATAAAAACCACTATCTGTCACACAACCAGCTTCACTCAAACTGCCCAAACCCACCACCAAGAAAATCCTAGTTTCACCATCATGCAAACAACAGATGATCTCTACTACAATCAACTACACCAACTCTACATTCCCAGTGGCAACCCCTCCACATCCACAAGCCACATAGCCCACCAGTCCCCCTCTGGATCTCCATCTCTTCCCAAACCCATGAATTCAATTTAGCCTCCTTTCACTAAATCATAATACATCTGATATGTATTTAACATAAGTTTTGCATGCAAAAAGAACCAGTGACTAAGTTTTATGGTACATTTGTTTTGATTAGGATTATGGTTTTTCAAGACATCTAGGCTCTTATTTATGTATATCAGATTAGCTTAATAAACTACTCCAACCAAAGAAAAAAGAGATATATAAATTATTTTAAAGTGAATTTTAAAATCTCCAAATTTCAGTATTTCTTGTAAACCTAGTCTATTTAGGAATTTGTCTTACTTAGAAATCCTAATACTGTATAAAAATTACGATTTGTTTGGGAAATTAGACTATTGATTAGGAGTCTATTATTATCTTATGGCTTCATTTTCTTGTTTGTTTTCCTATTTGATGTAGGAAAAAGAGCCAAAGATAGCAAATGCAGCCAAAGGATGGTTGTCTGGACTATATGATCAGGAAAGAGAACAAAGCTCTTCGACAAAATTCTCAAAATATCTGATCATTCTTTTTTAACAGCAGTAGCAGCCTCTACATACTAAGTAAAAAGAAATTGTAGCCCTTAAAAATAACTAAAACTTAGCCATCCAAACTTCCGTAGTAAGTAGTTCATAAATAAACAAGGAAAGGAAAAAACCATAATTGTTAAAAAAAAAGAAAAAAATGCTGCTGCAGTCAGGTGACCACAACTTAGGATTTGTCCTGCATCATATTTCCTCTCTGGTTTAGAAGTATTGGGCTTTGGAGCCTATAAAGAAGAAGCTACTCTGTGTGTTCATATGGATTTTGATAATGGTACAAATATGAGAGTTTGGGTTATCTTGAAGTCTTCTTGCCTAGAGTTCCTTGCCTTCTATATTCCCTTTTTTCTTCTTCTTCTTCTGGCTTCAAAAAGACTGCTGCTACAGTCCATCCCACGGTTACTATTCACAGCCTTGAATTCAATCCCATATTCTTCTACAACACATACCTAACCAACCCCAATTCTTTATACATCAATTCTAACCCTAATTGCCACCTAAAATCCTCAAGACAAAATCATGTGGAAGGCATACAGCATCAGGTGAGAACCACTGTATTTTGGTCTGAGTACCATGTTTATTGGCCTCGTCTACAGGTGACTGCCCGTAATTTTTTTTCCCCCTTCTATTTTTAGGATGGTTAAACTTTATTCAGCATGTTTTAGTGGAGAACAACAAGCACGGAGAGACCTTTAGCATTTATAAAATGTAATGAACCATATTATTGGTCTAGAAACACAAAAATTAACATTTAATTGCACTAAAACCACAGCAGTTGAAAAATAAAATACACTTCTCTTTTCCATGTTGGGTTGAACTCATTTTGTTTGGCTTAATAAGGGCTCAAGGAGACAAGTCTTAGTCGAGAATTTGCAACATATAGAACAGAATTTAGTTAATCTAAGATGGTGCTGCAACCAGTAATTTTAGAACCAATACATCACACCATTTAGAAAGCAGAAATAAAAATCTTCACTAACTCACTCATTTATATTAATAATTAGTTTGTCTGCTTACTTTATATTTGCATAGGTTGTAAAATGGGTCATAAAACTATGTATTTAAACATTATATTTGTCCCCACTCTCCTAGAAGAATTGTCCATCGCACACACGTGCATGGTTGACCCAACCAAACCATTGTGATAGACTCTGATATTTTGCATGGAGTTATTTAGGGAATTCTAGAGGTTTTCTTGTTGTTATCATTTTAGCTTTCCGTAAAAATTAAATAAAATGGGTGGAAAATATTATTTTAAAAAAAAAAAAACTGTGTTAAGGATAACCAAAGCCATTTCTAGGATGCATAGTCCCAAGAACCATGTAGCTGAGTCCACAATAATGGCCCCAGCCAAAGTCAATATGAGGCTCGGTGCAGCATAGTCATTATCCCCATCCTTAAATTCATAGTTCTCAATTGTATCACACATGCATTAGAAACTTAGACAGCTGAAAAAAGAAAAGCAAGGATAAAGTTTCGATACCTTCATCCAACCTTTTCACCAGCTCTGGGTAAGTTCCCCTCAGTGAAGCATTCTGCTCCTCAGTTGTCATTTTTGCCTCAGGATATTCCGACAAAACCTTCATGAATTAGAGAGGGAAGATGAGCATCATCACCAAGGAAACAAATATTATTTGTACAACGCACTATCTTTAGAAACAACACATATATATTGGTTGTCTTGCCATTGTGAAGTAAGAAGAGGACCACATGCAAGCATACCTCCCCATACCTGCTTCAGCTTAAAGGATAGCAGACTCTTCAGTTTGTCCCAATCATGCCTGAGATACAAATCATAAAAATATACATGATATTGATAGGAGTTATGATTTTATTAATCATTTTGCTTCTCACAATCATAGCATGCAGAATGAAAGAATAACATCCAGAGTAAAAGGACAAGAAAACAACTAACTTTCAAACTACAGTGAGCCTAAAGCTAATTGGAGCATGACACAGTAAAAGATATATTGTTGAAGTCTAACAGCAAGGCTTTCCATATCCAATAATAGATTTGAAAATATAATCTTAGTACCAATATAAGGTGGTATCTTGTTTTTCCATTTGGATTTCAATTTGAAAATAATAATCATGTAACTCCAGAACTAATTCAATTATGACAAACCTTCAACTGAATAGCGAATGGACAAAAATTCAATATTGAGGGTAATTTTTCTTATTTTGTGGGTAGTCAGTAGAACACGAAGGAAAGGAATAAGGAAACTAGATAAACCATATAAATCACTAGGAGTTCCTTGAAACCACAAGGAGAGGGTAAGAGACCCACCCACTAGGTAAAAGACAGCAATTTATCAACTTTTAATAACCAATCTAATTCATAAGAATATAGCTTACAACAAAATACAGTTTTTTCGCACTCTCTTATATAGCCACCTAAAAAGCCATAAAACCCCAAAACAAACAGAAAAGAAATAAAACTTTAAATGACATCCTACTTAAAATCAAATGAATGAAACAAAAAAATTCCATAAATCATGCAGATATTTCTAATTTATAAATTATTAAAGCCACAATAAATTTACAATAATTGTTGAAAGTCGAAGGAGCACACATTTTCTCCGAGTCTCATGTAATGTTGAAGCCTAAAACCTTGAGCTAAGAACCTACAATTGCATAATCTGGAAAAAAAATAATGAAAAATAAAAAAAACACAGTAGATTTAAGCTCTGTTTGACCCTGCTGTTAAGCAAGTTTGGTCCAACTTTTGAAAGTAGAAGTTTTGGTAAAGAGCTTGCTTTTAGAAAAAGCAGGCATGCTATTTCAGAAAAGCATGTAAAAGCTTATTATAAGATAATCATGCATTGCCCTGCTTCTTTTATAATCAACTAAGAAGGGTGCTTAACTTATAAGCACAGCAAGGCCAAACAAACCCTTAATCTCACTTCTAGGAAACCAATAGCAAGCACAAAATACATATCCTTTTAACTCTAGACTTTGCATCTATCACTTGGATATTTATACTCATCTTGTTCATTTGCAACTTCAGTTGTCTTCCACAATCCAATTGATCCTTTTTTAACCTCCTTGCACCTAAATAGGTTCCCTAAATTCCCCAAGATTTGCAATCACTTCGTTGCCTTCATTTTTGCACATCATCTTTTGATGCCTCAAAAACCAAGACCTTGGGATCTTCAAAGTTTTCTTCCTGCCCTAGTACCTAACACATATCTCACCATTGCAATTTTCTTCAAACTCTCCAGAAGACCAATTATGCTGCATGTAGTTCCATGATCAGCCGTCATCGCTGCAGACAAGCAACTCAACGAGGGTTCAAAACTAAATGCTCAACTCGCAGAAATCATCATAAATACAATGTCCCTCTAGATGAATCCGAGCCAAGACAATTGTCTTCCAACTCATACCAATAATATGCAAGAAAAACGTCATGATGTTGAAGTTATATATCAATGCTTCTTACAAAAAAAGTCTGAAAAAACTTTAGGCAGCATACCTATTGTAATAGGGGCAGAAAATATGAATGATTGTTTTGTAACTACCAAAGTTCCATTTCAATCAAGTTCTTAAATTTGGCCAGCATTTTCTAAAGCCACACAATATTGACTCTTATATTGTCTCCAAAAAGGAGATTACATGAAAGTCCATATGAATTCTCACCATGGCCAAATTTCCTGCCATAAGATTGGTTACTATAAACTTCAATATGTGTCCAATACCTTTTTTTCTTTGAATACTATAAGGCTGCCACCTGTTCACTCTTTTTCCCTTTAAATTGCTTTGATAATGTTTTCTTTTTAAAACTTATGTCTGCTTCAACTTTTCTATTCAAGCTACCAGTACCAGAATTATTTTTTTTTTTTTTCCACATATGCAAACATACATTGCTGTAAATCAACTTCACAAGTTACACCATTTTATCTTACCAAACAAGTCAGCAAAACCATTCCTTAAGGAAACAAATCACCAATCAATTAAAGCTCTAATCCAACAGGTCTGTTCCTTAGGATCTGAAGATGTCACCCCTCTAAGTAATAACAAACAGCATCCTTCACCTTGCATGAAAGTCAAAAAGGCACCAAACTAGAAAAATACCAAAGTAACCAAAAAAAAAAAAAAAAAAAATCCACTTCTGATGGACTGATGGGGGTTGACTACTGCCACATCGATGAGCAGCAACTGCATCCTACATGTTAATTTTGCTTCATCTATCTTTAAGCCAACCAAAATTTCAAAATCTAAATCAAAGGCCATCAAAACACTACCGACAAATTCCCACAAAAATCATTATTAAGAGTCATAAACAGAAAAGGGGCAAATTAATAATTGAACTTTCCAGTCTGATACACAAAAGGAAAAGAACAGGAGGGGAATCGACATGTTTACTTTTAGAAATGAAAATGCATTATCTGCAAAATGTTTTCTTATGTTATTGAATCCATGATGCACTTAAGCAACGCATTTGGTGCCTCAGGGGTGAAGGAAGGTAAAACAATCCCTGCAACAGAAAAGGAAAAATATGTATAGAAGAAAAATAGTAATCAAACAACTGCAAGACTTCACACAACGCTCAAAATATTTTCAATCAATATCCATAACGAACATTAATGGAAAGGCATCGTCACCATTTTCCTTCAATTTGTTCATGAAGGTTGATGGAAGAGTGGAGATATGACTGCTTAGGAGCTTTATAGGATTATTTGTGAGGATGACATGAAAAAAACACAAGGGGAACTGGTTCACAGTGATGAGTAGAAGTAACCTAAATTCTAACAAACCAGTGTTACTTCATATGTGCATATAAAACAAGCTTGCGAGATGATATATAAGAAATAATGTGATAACATCAAAGAAAATAACCATCCAACGGCAGAATGGTGTCAGCATAGCATATGAATAGGGTAGCAGCATCATGGCATGGTGGTTAATGGGTTACGTTGACACTGCTATGGTTCCGGAATTCAGTAATTTGTGTGACAAATGTGACAATTTAGTCTTCAAAATCGAGAATGAGAAACAAAGGTTTTTGCAAAAACTGCTATTTCAATTGAATCCATCTTGCATTTGATAAAACTAAGCACAAAATCTATGTACTGAAATCAAAATAAGGGAAACCATAAAAGTGCAGTACCAAAATTTGCCAGTACATGAAATAACTTGTAGAATGCTTCTCACTTCGTCCTCGTCTTCTTCAACAATCTCAGACTTGGATTCTTTCTCCCTACAATCCAAAAAACAATCACAAAAAAAAAAAAAAAAAATCAATCTGATAACTTGTTTTTTTTTTTCCCTAGCAAATCGAAAAAAAAAAAATCGTCACCAAACCTAATTTTTTCCGTTTTATTCTGGAAAATCGAAGTGGAACTTATAGAAACCTAAAGTCTGCAAACGAAAAAAACTAAAGAAATTAGTACCCAGGGTTTAAGGAAGAAGCATCCTCCCAACTGTCATTGGGATTGCGAGGGGTGGTGATGATATCAGCAGCGTCGTTTGCGGTCGAATTTTCAATTGACGGCGGCGTCTCCATATCTTCCGTATGTGATGAGAAGAAGATAACACTCGACCGATCGATTGATTTTTTTTTCTCCCTGCGCTGCTTTGTAATAGTAGCAACTAGCAAGGAGAGAGAGGGTGCACGTAGGAAACTGTGACGTGTTCTATAATCAAAGATGCAAATAAGAACTACCCATACATTAAGAAATTCTTTATATAATTGAATTACAAAATTTCCTTATTAGTTGAAAAAAATTAATTAACCAAAGTCAATTATAATTTATTTAATAGATAATTTTCACAATTTATATTTAAAAAAATCCATAACTAACCCCAAGTCTCTAAAAACTTATTCAATAGTAATATGTAACTTCAACCTTCTCTTCTAATTAACAAAAACAAAACAAATATTAAAGAAATTTTCTTAAAAAATATATTAAAATCTAAAATATAAAATAATTCCATTTATTCATTATTTTTCTATTTATTGATCACATAAAATAAGTTTTTTAATCACTCATAACCTATATAAAATATTATTAGCATTTTGTAGAAGTGTAGATTATCATTGTCAAAATCGAACTTCTTTCTTTTCTTCATTCAAATATCTTCTTTTTGAAATAGATTCGAAGTTCTATGCTCACTACTTTTCTTGATTTTGATCTGCTCATTCATTGTAACATCTAGTTACTTCTTCCATCATTGTATTCATTTTGAAGATCATCAAATTGTGGTTACTTCTTCCATCATTGTGTTCATTTTGAAAATCATCAAATTGTTGCTCGTATCATCTAATTAGTGTACACTCTTTTTGGTTGGACAAAAAATCATTCATGTTAAGTTATGGAGATTGATAAGGATGGAGGCCCACGATATAAGGTGCTATATAGATACAACATAGTGATCTCGTTAGTCGATTAGCGAGCGAGGGTCACCAAGACGGCGCCCCTTACGGGGACTCGGGGTAAAACCCCTAAAAGGTTTACAAAATATTAGGTCGGATGTATCGGTTAGTTAGACATTTTTTTACTTATAACCCTAGATGTCCACACTATAAATAGAAGTAACATCACTTATATTTATAACCATCAATTGATAAAAGCAAACAAGAAACTCTAGTACAATCGTGGAGTATGCATCATTTTCAAATCACGTAAAGTCCTTGTGTTATGTGATTGTTTTGGTCTCTCTACTTTATTCTTTTGCTTGATTCTTTTCCTAACAACTCATTCATCTTCCCATGCCTTTAGGGTATTGCATCTTAGTGTTTAGGCTTTTGTTGGCTTAGATTAAGACATTTTGACTAATATAGTCGATATAGACTTTGTTATATGTGTGGGTAATTCATTATAAATTCTTTTAAAGGTTTCATGAAAAGTATCTTATCATCTAACAAGTTCTAATAAAATTCTTATCACACCATCTCTTAAAACTTCATCGTGTTATCACCTTTTTTATGAAAGCAAGGCAAGTTTAAGTGTTTGAAATTGTGAATTAAATTATGCAAAGCAAATCAAGGATAAAAGAAGTAAAGTAAAATGATAATGTTAAAGAATATTTGACCATACCTCATATTATTTTTTTATTGCTCTAGACAAAAAGTGTTGTACCTTCACGAATAATATTTCTTTAAGACATCGAATTCACTAACTTATATAACTCATCAAAATCCATGTTCATCAAAATGGAAGCTCCTTCGAGAAAATACTATCTTTGCCACATATTAACCTTCATAATTAAATGCCCACTTATTATGATCTCGCCTTTAAAATAACCAAAAGCTTCTCAATATTTAATCTCCTTCTTGAAATGTTTTTTAACGCACCTTCTTATCATATGCTCATGCCTTTCTCTTCGATATAGCTCGCACATGGAAAATAACTACAAATTGCTTCTCACTAATTAGATTCAACTATTCATATCAAATCTTGGCCCATTTTAACTCATCTAACTCTACTTCATTTAAGACACTCGAAGATGGTATTTCTAACTTCAAAGGCATCATCACCTCCATTTCATATACAAAAGAGTAAAAAATTATTCCAAGTTGATGTCCCGACTATTGTTCGATAAGCATGTAGTTCAACTCATAACATTTCATGACTATCTTTGTACGTGACCAACATCTTCTATATGATTTTCTTCAAATTCTTGTAAATATAACGATGAGTTACGATGCTTGATCTTTCAATATTGATATAATTCTATAATTATTTTGTAATTAAAATTTCACGTATTATCGATTATCAAGATTTCGAAGAACTATAATTACAAATGATGTTTTTTTATCAAAATAATGTACTATTTTTTAAATAACATATGCAAGTAAAGTGACTTCCACCCATTTTGTGCAATAATCTATTGACATAAGAGTGTGCACGTGAGCTTGAGGTCGAGAATTTCAATCTAATTTATTTCAATCAAAAGCTTAAAGTCCTTTTTATTTATTTTGGTTAGTTGTTTATTCTTTTTCCACAAAGATTTTTATTTGAATTTAGGTTTCATTTTAGTCCTTATTGGGTTTGGATATATATTTAATTAGGAGTTCTTATGTGTTACAAATCCATAATTAAATAAGAATCCATAGTTCTTTAAGTCCATATTTAATTTAGACTAGACTAATAAGTCCTTATTAAGTTTGGAATGGATTTAAGTTATTAAGTCTAAATAGGTAAACAAGTATTTTAGTCTCTGTTTATTTTAGATTGGGCTTAAGTTAATAAGTCAATTGGAATAGGATTTCACTTGTTTAGCTAAATATGGCTAGGGTTTTTTAGGGTTAGTCGCATTTTAGGAGCTAGTATTTAGGCTAATATTTTGTAATTTTTAATGCGGTTTTGTTGAATTGATAATCGGAGAGAATTTTCTCCTTATTTGGTGTTCTTGTGTAATATAAAACATAATTCTTATTTGTGGCACTAATCACCCAAGGTGGTGAATTGATCAACCAACATTCAAGAATCAAAAGTGGTAGTATCTCGTATCTTTAGGTTCCCGACGTATTGATCCTTATAAGTCTTGAATTACTTTAGCTAGGTCTTGATTTACATATATCCTATTGTTAACTAAAACTTCAATTAGAGTGATTTACATATTGAGGGTTTTGGCTTATTTTCATTTTCTTATAAATATTTTTTGCTTTTTGGTTTCAAGTGAGGAAAAGGTGCGACGAGGGTTCAAATAAGGGGTTAAGCTTTTCAAATTGATCCAAAAATTTGACCAAGTGTTTGACCGGACCTAATTAAGATTTGATTAGAATTTCAAAATTAAAAGACAGAGTTGACACATAGGTTTGACCTACTCTAGGGTTCGGCTTGTGTTGCTTGTTTTTTACGGGTTTGGATTTCAATTTGTGTTGATTGATTATTAGGTTGTTTTGGAATTTTTATTATGTTAAGGATTTGATTGTGTTTGTGTTGACTTTTACATCAAGCTACTTTTTTTTATGTTCGAATTGTTGACATAGAGGTTGTCATACGGTGATATCTCGATTGCAAAAATTAAAGTGTTCAAAAAGTAGAATCACCATAGTTTTCTTAAAGGTGAAAACTCGGAAAAATCTAACAAATTAGTCAAAGAGTTTCAGCTATAGAGGTTGATTACAAAACTAGAGAAGACTATTGACTATCCTAAAATCTACCACAAGTGTATGGATGGTAGGAATGTAAAATAAGACAAGTCATATATCATTCCCATTAAGAGGAGTTTCGTCAATAGGGTTCTTTTTTAATAAAATTTTTTGAGAGTTTCATCAACTCTTTATGAACTTTGTACTCGCCCCTAGTATGAGGGGTAATCCTAGTTCGAGTTATCATAAAAAAAAATCATCAAGGCTCAAAGTAGGATGATAAAGGATATGATTTTGTGAGATATATGAAAAATGATCTTTCTTCATCTCAAAGGTTGATTTGCCTATCGCTGGTAAATGCTAATCTCTTTTGAAAAATAATGATTAATTTAAAAAGCTTTTGGGTTAACGAAGAAGGGAAGTGTGATTTGAGATCATGATCATTGTTATTTTGGACACCAATCATTTAGTCTTTCAAATTTAGGATTCATAATGTTTTTTTTATTTCAACAAAATAAGGGATTTCCCCCTTACTTTCTACTTAAAAAAATTATTAGGAAAATGTATGTTTAGATTCACTAAATCGAAGAATTACCTCTAAGCATCTATTTGTCATGCTTGAAATTTGATCAATCTTTGACTATCTTGAATAAATTTATCATTATAATTTCTTAATAGAGAGAAAAATTTAATGCCAAATAATACTTTCAAATGAACATCTCTTAATTTTATATCAAAAAATATAAAATCACAAAAGAAATAAAAGTATTTTTTTCATTCAAAGAATGACTTAATTCATACATAACCAAAACATCGTGGGAATAGTATTCAAAATCTAATAAAACTAAAAGATAGTATTTGTAAATCATGAGCATGTATCCTTACTATAACTTTCAATTTCACTCAATCTCTCCATCCCCTATGTTAACGATTATGGTTTAATAGTGGATTCATGCTCATATTGGCGGACCATTATCTAAACTCGATCCACCCTTTCTTAATTAAAACCAATAACATCTTTTTGAAAGTCGGACAATTACCAATGCTATGTCTAGTAGCATAGGATGATATTTGCATATCTCATCTTATTTGTATCACATAGGATAGGGAGGACGCATTGAGTTAGTAAGGATCGGGGTGACTCGGTCAATACATATCGGACACTAAAACATTCCACCCAATAGAAAAGGTAGGGGTGGTAATTGTTCAAACTCTTTTTTTATGATCTTGGTTGTTTAGGTGGTAAGAGTTTTGTGGTGTTTAAGAATCATTGAAAACTCGTCCGATTCCGCATTAGAGACACAAACAAAAAAGAAAGAGGTTTCCCTTATTTCTTAGAGGTCCGTTCATGAGCTTTTCGAAAATTGGTATGGAGATTGGGACTCATTTTAAAGATATTATAACCAAATCCTCTCTCACTAAGAGTGTATTCTGAAGCCTTAGTTTTTCTCTAAATTATGTCGTGC